AAATCAAAATAGAGAAATCTTTATCCAAAGTCAGTAACTTACATGTGTATGCATATTTACGTGTGTAAACACATGTATATTTGCGTACACGCCAAAATTTTACATTTTATTACTCCTTGCAATGGGGCTACCCCTGCACTGCAAGGGTTAAGTGTTCTTTTTTTAGGGTAAAAAAAGTTATACTAACCCGATCTTCAGGGCCAGCAGCGCTCCCTCCAGCCTGTCTCCTTCTCCACTGCAGGAATAGAATGTCCCTCGGCCTCCTCATGTCCTATACACTGTATTGGACATGAGGACTTACAGAACCTTAGATCACTGCAGCAGAAGGGGAGAGAGGCTCCAGGGACGGGTCTAAAGGTGCCCATACACTGCACGATTCTCGTAATCCCGCGATCGTACGATAATCATGCAGTGTATGGAGGGCGTGCAACCGTTTCTACTGTACAGTCATACGACTTTTGTATTTCGAGCATGTTGGAAAACCAACCGAGAATCGTACGATTTTCGGCTGGTTATTAGCATGATCGAGAGATCACTGCCGAAGGGGCCAGTGTGCACACGCGCACATTGCCCGTTCAGCATTGCAGTCATCGGAAGCCCGCCCCTGAGGGGGGCGGGCTTGCGGTGATCGCAAGTACGATCTCCTTGTCCCAAGATGGGCAGATCGTACGTTTTTTTAATTACTTTCCAACCCCTCGCAAGACTTGTAAAGTGTATGGCCACCTTAAGAGCCAGCTGGCTCCATGGTTCAGGTGAGTACAACTTTTTTTTTAACCCAGGCAAACACGAGCAGTTAACCCTTTCAGTGTGGGGTAGCCCTACTGCATTTGTGCCCGGAGTTCTTTAAATATTAGGATTGAACACTTACCTAGAAGAAAAGAAAAGAACAATTTTATGGATTTGGATATTTACTCATCTATGTACATGTAAATGAATGCACTGTATGGACCAGTTCATAATTTTGTTGTGCAGAATATTTCTGTCATCTGCAAGATCCTGCATAGATGAGTAATTTCTTTACAGCCATGGCCATGAACCCTTATTGCACTGTAAGACAAGTGGCTGGATTCCAGATCATCACACCATACGCAACATCAACGCACACTAGATTAGAGAATGGATTTAATGCATGATGGTATGGGGATTGTTCACTTTGGAGGGGAATTTACCCTTAGCTTAGTGAATGTGGTGAAAAGCCAATTGACAAAGAATAGCAAATCACGTGCAAGGAAGATTTTAAAGGCAATTTTCACTTGCACATGATTGAATGAAGGTCAGCAGACCTTTACCACGTTCACTACGCTAAAGAAAAATTCCCTTGCAAAGTGAACAGCCTATTTACCTTTAGTTAATCAACACCTATATTTGCAGCCTCATGCAAACCTACAATTCACACATAGCATAGCATTTTTTCTCTATTTCCCTTCAGTAAATCATTAGCATAATTGTGAATTCACAAAAATTGGAGTAGACAGAACCTGGACCAGTTGCCATGGTAGCCAATCAGCTTCCCCGTTTCACTTTTAAAGCTAACTGGACAAACTAAAGGGAGAAGCTGATTGGTTGCCATAACAAAATTTGTCTTCTCCAGTTTTCAAGAATTCTAACCAATGTGAGTGTAAAATGACCCTAGCCCACATCACTGGCTCCAACATTATCTTTCTCCCCCTTGTCATTACCATTATATGGTAATATTTACCATGATCACTAAAGTTTATGAAGACAACGAGGCTGCACACAGCCCTAGCTCAGGTCTAAGGACCACTAAGTACCTACATAGGTAAGCCTGCAGCAGGACACGTAACCCTACACGGCTGTATACCGCCACACCGCTTCTTATTAATGTAGTGGTGCCTCTCGCGCCCCCCAGTGGCCACGGTTGACGTCCGTTCCTTTTTTTAACAGCATCCAGCCCACTTGCATGCTGGGACTTGAAGTGCAAGAGGCCGCGAAAGAGAGGAATGGGATGATGTGGACACTACACCTCCCAGGGTTCTCTGCGGCTCCCTGCCGTTCTATTGGCTGGTGGAAAAATTACGTCGGCTTGCAGGGAAGTGTGGTTGCACCGTGCAAGGGCTGGATATAAGGTGAGGCGAATGGGGTTTAATTTTTGTTAGTGTGTAATACGTATTCTTTGTAATGAAGGCGATAGATCGTGGCCAGGGGGCGTATTACAGGCTGCAAAGTGAAGAAAGCTTGGGAAACCGACTATGTGAGGATTCCCTGGGCTGCAGCATACCTTGTCTACCATGGTGCACAGTGGAGACCTCTCTCCAGTGCTGGCCACAGAAGATACTTGTGCTAACATGTTAGGCAGTGTGGGGAGCAGGAATATTAAATGTGCAGCCATGCAAACAGTTTTACATTAAAACTTAACGTCAGCAAACCCTTCATGGCAATTGTAGCTGCAGAACAAGATACCTGCATCTTAATGGATAGCATATTGGGCCTACTGTGTGAAAAGTGTGCTAAAGGTAACATTTCTTGTTGTCTCTAGCAAACTGATCAGCTGCCAATTAACTTGCACAGTTCAGGTGTGCAAGTTAATCAAGGAAGCTGATTAGTTGCTATGGGTAACAAGAAATTATAACTATGGCATAAGTTTGAATACATTAGGCCCATTATATTATTAGGACAGGAAATGTCCCTGTAAAATGACTGCTGGCACCTATGTAGTGGAGCCACTCTCTGTTAAAGTATTTTAGGGCTCATTCACGCATATGCCCATGCATTCCACCATTTGTAGTTATGCACATGCATAGGTGTAAATGGGCCCTTGTAGCTTCCCTTTAACAGAATTTTAACATGCAGGCTGGGGTCCTTCTTGTGCCAGGCATTGTAACAACACAAGGCACTGTTTACAATTTTTCCCCCAAAACTTTATTGACTTGTGAAAGTGACGTTTCATTTATGTCTATCAGAGCAGGGACCAGTTCTAACATCAGGTGAGCTCCAGTGCATTGTGCACACATCACACCAGCCGTGTGTAAATGGGGCCCACATTGTGAGCCCTTGTGGTGACTGGCCTTGTTCCAGTATGGGAGAAAATAACAGCTTCTGTGCTTTTGGTTTAGAAAGGGTTTGCACAGAATGCCATTTGCATGGCGTTACTGCTGCTAGATAAATTCCTATTCTGCTTGGCTCCATCCATCTATCTACAAATGGGGATCGCCAAGTCCCTTATAAATCAGCCCCATAGTGTCACTGGGCCCTTAAGCAAAGTGCATTTATCCTTTTTGCCTCCTCTTCTTTGACCTAAACTACCCCACGTTTCCCCTCCCCAGATGTATATTTACCTTGATACAAAGGCCGCGGCTTACATCCTGTTCAAAAAGTCTTCTCTGCTCTTGGCCGAGTCTGCACAGTGGCTCCCTCTAGACTTTTATGGGGTTGTTTCCCATGGCCTGAGACTCTCTGGAGATTGGTACAATAGAAGTCTACGGGAAGCAACTGCACACATGCGGACAGCTCACAGAAAACTTTCAGAACCGGATGTAAACAAACAGCAGAGGCTGTAGCTGCTGGATTGAGGTAAGTATGTGTCAGGAGATGAGGAGGATGGGCTAATTTGGGTCAGGGGAAGAGGGGTAAAGGTTTAGTGATGTTCTAAACTACACTTATATTTTAAAACTTAACTTCACATTGGGCACATGGGAAAGAATAGGAGTTATGTTTGAAATGCATTTTCATGTAGTGAAAATATGTTTTACTGCAGGAAAATTAGGAAGTGTGATTAGACCTAAAATACCCATCTCCACCCGTGTCTTTGTTTTTAAAGTATTACTAAAGGCTGGGGGATTTTTTGCCCTAATGCATTCTCTGCATTAAGGCAAAAAACACCCAGAACTTTCCTAATTCCCCTGCGCCCCCCCCCTTACCAGCAGCCACTCCCCTCTTCCGCCGCGACCGGGAAGATACTCGGGATTCCCCGAACGTCCTGGTTGCCGGGGAGGGCTCCTTCTGCCATCAAGTCAAGCTGTGACTGCAGGGTGGGGACGTGGCCGGCCTCACACTGTGTGTTTCTCTATGGACGCACACAGCTAGGTAAAGGCACGGCCATGACCGCGCATGTACGGGTGCCTCCACAGCAGTTGGCTAGCTGATGGAGGCACCCGTGCAGGGGGAGTGGCACTAGCAGTCTGGATACCTCTAGAGAATGAGGAAATAAATAAATAAAAAGAGCTTTTTTTTATAGTAAGCCTGGCCCCCATAAACCAGAAAATAAAATAAAAAACCCCAAAGGTTTAATGTTGCTTTAACATCTGAGTTGCACACCTTTTTTCTCTTTTTAGAATTCAAGGTTCCAAAATTATAGAAAAAAAGTTATGCATTGATTGAATTAATACAACAGTACATTTTTGTAACTGTAGATCTGCAGATTTTATTAAAATTATACTGCACATTGATGCCATGAAGGCCCTTGTTCGGCCATAGTGAAACCAGAAAACAGGCACCTTACCTTCTCCCTTGTACTCCCTTCTGCACAGTCCTCTGCTGCCCAGATATGCTGCCAGAACTCAACTACCTGAACTCAACTACCTAATCTAACCTCCCCACCCCACACTTCTAACCTGAGGAATGGGTTTAGTTTTGGTAGCCTTATAGAAATACTGACCTTTAGAAAGTCATAATTTAAGTCATTTATAGTCTTCTTTCTTTAACGCAGTTTCACAAGACGAATGGCTCTGTGAATTTTCTTATAGATACACTGCTAGGGTTACAAAACAAATTATGACTGGCAAGAGGCTGTAGGCCTGGCCAGAAACCCTGCTGGGTTAGATAATGTAATATCAACGTGGGCATTAAGATTTTTTTTATTGATGTTTCCTGCTTGATTTACCGGAGAGAGCCCCCCCCTTTGCATTATATTTATATGACAGGTTACAGTTCTAGAACCCATAGCTGATCCACAAAAGATTTTGGTGGACAGCATGTGGTACATCTGATTTGATTGGCTTTTTCAGTGTTCATGCAAACTAGCCCACTGTGTTATTGTCTTGCCAGGAGGATCTTAATCTTATACACACTGCTCGAAGAAGTGACTTGACCTTGTATGTATTGCCATCTTCCTTTGCCAAGGCCTTTTGAAGCTTCCATAATTGTCAGCACAATATTCTGCAGATCTTTCTAAAGGTATGGAATCTAAATCTCAGTGTTTGTGTTTTCTACTTATTCATTTTGGGCACAATGTAAATCAACCATTGTAGGTATGTGTTCCGATTGGAGAGGTTTTCCATCCCTTTCTATCCTGACATGCAGTGATGGGGAATCTTCCCAGCAGGGACATAGGTAGTGGAAAAAAAGCCCCTCTCTGCTCTAAATGTAAATAAAACATTTAAGTTGCAGCTAGGCTTTAACATGTCAGTGTCTGTCTAAACCAGATTACTTATTTTACATATGCATGTACATATGCATGGACAAAACGGCATTAGGTGCACACTGATATTCGTAAACATGAATGCAGGAAAATCGACAAAGCGTGATTTAGGCCCTAAAAACTCACTTAAATCAATTGGTGTCAATTTCCTCTGTGACACACAAGTTTCCCAAAGCTCAGATATGCCTCCCTTTTACAGGCTTCATTTTGCAGTCAGTCTCAGGCATGGATGGGTGCCAGCTGGCAGAAGTGATTGAACGGCTGTGATGCTGCCTGAATCACTTCTGCTATCTGCTAAAGAGAAAAGAGCCTGGTGCCCAGAAAAAAAGTCCTCCTCCTACACCCAGATTCCCATTGCTGCTGCTACATTACAGCAGACAAACAGGCAATCACATGTCCCAGACTACTCTTAGCCTGCAGGGGTCTGCATTCCTCAGGTACACTGAAGCCACCCAGTGGACTTGAGGACCTGCGTTTTGACAGCTGAGTCCCAGTCATTTAAAGGTGTGCTTATGGTGCCTCCATCCACGGCTCCTGCAAGTGCTGAATGGGCCTCCTTCCCACTGCTTTCAACACCATCACACACATCTTGCTATCACCTTCTTGCCTGCCATCACTGCACCTGATATTCCAGTCCCACCCCCTAATCTTACCACTACACCTGCCACAAGAACAGGCCTGTGCCCAGTGTTAAAAGTGCATACATTGCTATTTTGACCCTTTTTTTCCGTAATTGGTAAAGTACCTGTAACAACAAACTATGCCATTAAAAACCTTTTTATTTAGTTATGGATAGAGTATTGATGGGTTACATCTCAAGTTTTTATTGCTGTCTGAGTCCCCGTTGGGAAGATTTACTACTCAGTTTGCCTGGTGACTATTGTCAGAAGAAACTGTAAGAGAAAATGCAAAATTCAAATTTTTCCCAAGAGCAAGAGGTAAGGGGAAATCTTCCTGTTGTTCCATCCTGGGAGATTTTCTATTGTGTATCTGGGACCGGAATTGAAGGGAAATTTTCACCAGTGATATTGAGAGCAAAAATAACTTTACAGGGGTTTTAACCGTTCCCTATTGTACCCAAAACAAAAAAAAAATTTGTCCATACATACACTTTAAAGGAAAACTATGAGGTGAATGATTTCCACTCGTCCTCATAGTTAGAGCCGATCTGTGTCAAAGAAGCTTTCACAGGTTGGCTCTATTGATCAGGAAGTGAGCAGAAACATTGCGCTGATCCGATCGTCTTCCTGCAGTGAGCGGTTACTGTCAGTCATCGCTCCCCGCAAAGATTCCTCCCCTCTCCGATCCTCCAGCACTTAGTGGAGGGACGAACGGGGGAGGGTACAGCTGGCTTTGCCTTTAGATAGGCAGAGCCAGCTGTCACTCACGCAGCTCGGTGGATCAAGACAGTATTGTTGGGATCTGTTCCGGCTGCCGTGCTCTCAATATTTCACGGGCTATACTGAGCTTTGGGTCACAGGAGGAGGTTAGTATATGTCCTCCCGGGACCCTAAAGAGAACTATGGGGACAAACACTCCATACTTCTCTTTTAAGTCTGGTCACTAGACTATAACATTTAGAATGCATTAACACTTGTGAGATCTGTACTCTGCTAAGAAAGACTGAGCTAAATGTACTAGTGGACCTCTCCACTGTGCAAGTGAAAAGCATGAGAGACACCATGAATTCTGGCCATTGGATAGTGATGCAATGGAAAAACTATATGAGTGACATGTCTGTTATTAAAAGCTATTAAAAAATAATGCTTGCCTTAAAATACACATGTACTGCTTCCGATTGGCTGATTATGCCAGAGCTATGCAATACACCTGCATACAGAAGTTAGTGAGTGAGAGGTTACAGTTTGCTATAGAGGTGAGCAGGAGGGGCTGCAAAGAGATGGAAAATAAGGAAATAAAACTATTGACTCTGTAAGCTGGTGTGGCTTGATCACATGTAATCTGGTGTGGCTTGATCACTGAGTACATCAATTGCATAGTTTGGCATCATGGGAAATGTAGTGTATTGAAATATTTCATAAGCATGTTGATGAAGGGGGGAAAGGAGGAACTAGGGGAGGCAAAATATAATCAGATTCAACTTCATCTTGACTGAATGTGTTTTCTTTGGGTAGAAAGGTAGAAAGCATCTTTTTATATATCAGTAACATTTTCCAGGTCTTGCCAGGAGCATCTTGATCTTGTACACTCTGTTTGAAGAAGTGACTTGACCTTGTATGCATTACCATCGACTTTTTTTCAGACCTTTTGAAGCTTCCATAACTGGCAGAGCTGTATTCTGCAGTTCTTTCTAAAGGTATGGAATCTAAATTTTGGCATACATTTGTGTTGTCCCTATAAAATCCAGGCCAGTGTAAATGCCTAGATTTGCAGTCCCAGGCTAGTCTTTCTTTGATTATACATGGAGTTGCAAGATGTCATGGTACCCTTTTAGAGTCCAGATCTGGTGTCTTGAAGGAGAGTATGATTTGGTAGTACTCAAAGTCTCCATTCACATATAGCGTTTGGGGTGCGGAAGACCGCATGGCATGAAAACGCTAAAATCTTTACATCTGCACGGATTCTATTAATATAGCAGTGAACGTGCGGAATCCGCCCCTGAAATCGTACTTGGACTATTGTGTGGGTCGCACGGTTTTGTTCCCCGCAATAGTATGAACAATGCACATTAAAATGCATTGGTTTTTAGAGTGGTTCCGCGCATATTCGTACGGCCGAATACACGCGGAAAACCGTTCATGTGTGAATGGAGCCTTATAAGTACAGAGAAGGGATTTTATCACATATGGAGCAGTTGCCATGGCAACAAATTAGCTTCTTTCTTTAATTTTCGAAAGAGTAAACTAAACAAACTGAAGAGAAAAGCTGATTGGTTGCCATGGGCAACTGCTCCATATTCTGTCCGCCTCAGTCTTGATAAATTCCCCCAAGAATGTTTTGTTTCGGATGAAATGGAATGTATTGTGGATGCAAAAACAAGATATGTTATTTTTTAAGAAAATGCTTACTAGGACAAATTACTTGATATTATTATTTGATATTTAAAAATCTTTATCCTTTACGTAAAGTTCATCAGCTTATAAATGTTCCATATTAAAAAAAAAACGTTAATTAGCAGTGTTTCTTTTACAGCTGTCTAAAAGTCACCACCTCAGAGTCATGGAGATGCCGTCATATTACACCAAACTGCTTGGAGAGCTGAATGAGCAGCGCAAGAGAGATTTCTTCTGTGACTGCAGCATTATTGTGGAAGGTCGAATATTTAAAGCGCACAGAAATGTTCTGTTTGCCAACAGTGGTTACTTCCGGGCCATGTTAGTCCACTATATTCAAGACAGTGGAAGGCATAGCACTGCATCTCTGGACATTGTTACATCTGAGGCATTCTCTACCATCCTGGATTTTCTATACTCAGGGAAATTAAACCTGAGTGGAGAGAATGTAATTGAGGTTATGAGTGCAGCAAGCTACCTCCAGATGACTGATGTTGTGAACTTTTGTAAGGCCTACATACGGTCTTCCCTTGATATTTGCAGGAAAATAGAACGGGAGAGTTCCTTTGGACAGGCTGACAGTGGGAGTGATGGTATAAGCGGTGGCAGGGCAGGACGTGGAAATCTAACTGTAAAAACAGGTCAGGGGGACTGTCAGAAGGAAGCACCTTGCGGAGACTGTAGTAGCTGCAATTCTGTGGAATTGATGGTGAAGGATCCCACAAGTGAAGGCTCTCCAGAAGAAAAAAGTCCCTCTAAAGCAGTGGAACCCAAAGAGGAGTTTGATTCTGATGTTGTGGAAGTAACAGAAGGCATCCAACCATATCCGTTAACACCAGGCATGGAGCAGGGTGAAGAAAGTCCACAGGGTAGTTCCAATATGGACCTGGCATGTAATAATTATCATATGAAACAATTTTTAGAGGCCCTTCTCCGCAACAGCTCTGCACAGAGGAAAGATGATCAAGGGCACCATTTTCCACGTGATTATGAGTCTCGGCAAGAGGAAGGAAGCGTTTCAATGAGTAATATGATGGACATTCAGGGGGACTGGTATGGTGAAGATACAGGTAATGTAACAAATGAAACCAATACCTATTTAATGTATATTATGTTTTGCTTGTTTGAAGGACAAGACAAAGTTTGTAATACTGGAAGTGGGATTCAGAGCATTTTGGTTATCTGCAGCAATTGCTGTTCCTAATCATTGTGCCCTACTTTTTGTATTATCGCTTTGTAGCCAGGCTGTTTGATATTTGGCACTAAGTCTCTTAGTCTAGATATTGGTTCCTTTGGATTGGAGTGGTGATGCCACCATTGCCCCTGCCTAGATTTCTCACAGTGATTTTTAAGAGATGTAGTTTTACATTGAGCCTCTGTATCATCTCCTAGGCTGCCTCTCCTCAGATAGGAAGCAGGACAGAACGATCTGATGAAGTTATCACATGAGAATTATATGGATTTTTCTCAATGCATTTACAAATGTGAAGTTTTTGGAACCCATATACCAGACTTTTCCCTACTAAGCTATGTCTTTATTATTTTTCATGACTTCACTATTATAATAATCTGCACAGCCTCATTCACACTGCAAAAGTGTCCCGGTTGTACCAGGAATCCAGCGGATTCCTGTGGCTGGATTCACAGGTGGATGCAGATGGTTGCGGTCGCTGAGTCTGTACAAAGCAATGACAGTTCAGATCTGTGTTCGGATGTAATTGCACATGGATTAACTACCTGCAGTTATGGGCAAATGAATTCCCCTGGATGCAAACTGCAATCATCCTATCCTTAACTGCAGGTAATTGCACCCACACACCGGTGGGTGGCGAGGATAATGCAGGAAGGCCTAGACAGGTTGTGGTAATAGGGGATTCTATAATTCGGAGGACTGATAGAATAGTTGGTATCCCAGATCGCCTCAACCGAATGGTTTGCTGTCTCCCTGGTGCCAGGGTTTGACATGTGGTGGACCGGGTGGACAAATTACTGGGAGGGGCTGGGCATGACCCAGCTGTCTTGGTCCATGTTGGGACCAAAGACAGAATACATGGAAGATGGAGGATCCTTAAAAATCAATTTTAAAGAACCTAGGTTGCAAGCTGAAGCGAAGGACCTCCAAGGTAATATTCTCTGGAATATTGCCTGTGCCATGCGCAATGCAGGACAGACAGCGGGAGCTTAGAGAACTAAACGCATGGCTAAAGACCTGGTGTAAGAGGGAAGGCTGTGGGTTTCTAGAGCACTGGGCTGACTTTTCATTGGGGTGCAAGCTATATGCTAAAGATGGTCTGCACCTAAAGGCAAGGGGGGCACTGTGCTAGGGGAGAGGTTCATGGGAGGGTTGGAGGAGTATTTAAACTAGGATTGAGGGGGAGGGAGAGTTAGAATATAATGGGGCAGATATGTCAAACAGGGGTCAGACTATCATGGAGGGTGGAACAGGGGAAGAGGGGGGAGGGAAATCGAGCTAGATAAGGAGATTCCCATGATGCAAACAAACATTGGAGATGATAGTACTAATTGTACTATAACAAAAGATACAGCTATTACAAGTGAAAAATTTAAAAATGGCTTGAATTGTTTCTTTGCCAATGGCAGAAGTCTGCACAGCAAAATGGGAGAATTAGAAGCTTTGGTGCATGAGGAGATATAATAGGTAAGGGCTGCAGCTAACGATTATTTTCATAATTGACTAGTTAGCTGATTAACTTCACTTAACCGGATAGAATTTTTAAAAAAAAATTTTAAAATAAAATACAGAATTGCAGCTTTACAGACATAAAGTTTACTTCAGAATAAAATGGTATGCACATTGTTTGCAATCGCACTGCAGTGGAATGCAGAGCATTGCAGTACCACGCATTCCAGTGTGGGTAATCACAGTGCTGACGGGAGGTGCATTTGGGATACATTGAATGAATGGCACTGCAACGCACCTCCTGCAGCAACATTTGACAGGCCGAAACTGAAAATGACTATATAGACCAGGTAACACGAAAAGGTGGCGGTGTTTGTCTCTATGTGAGAAGTAATCTAAAAGTGAGTGTGAAAGAGTACTTTGTTGATGGTGAGTGTGATGGTCAGGGCTTGAAAAATCCACTCGTCCGCTCGTCTGTGGAGCCCGACGAGCAGCTTGTATTAGCAGCATCCTTGTACAGATAGAAAGGGCTGCAAGGCGGGGACAGTAGTATTAATGAGATATTTTAACTCTCCTGACATTGACTGGCATAATGACACTGCGGGAACAGTAAAAGGGCGGACATTTATAAACTTAATACATGATAATTTTATGGTACAGTTTGTAGAAGCCCCAACTAGAAAAGATGCTCTCCTGGATGTGGTAATCTCAAACAATGCAGAACTTATTACAAATATTCATATAAAAGAACATCTGGGTAGCAGTGACCATAATATGATTTCATTTCACTTAAGTTGTAAACAACATTCACATACTGGAAAAATAAAAACACTTAACTTCAGGAGAGCACATTTTCCCAAGCTGAAGGTCCTACTTCAAGACTTCGACTGGGAGGGAATATTGGCATCAAAAACACAGAACAAAAATGGGAATGTTTCAAAACAATTGTGTACAAACATACTGCAAAATATATTCCTGTGGGTAATAAGTTTAAAAGGCTATGGGTCCATTCACACCACATCATCTCCAGACCAGATTGTTTCCAGACCTAAAATGCATCCTAATGTATCCCTACGCTATTTCTGGCCTCTGTTCACACCAGCGCAGTCCGTTCCAGACCAAACAAATAGATAAAGTTAATTGTTTAAAAAAAACACCTGGCTGTACTCCTAAATGCACAGAATATTACTGGATATTGAGTTGTTATAGGTATATTAAGCATCAGAGATTGTTGATCCAGGGAATATCCGATTGCCTTATGGGATGGGACCCTTTCACTTCAGAAGCCCTCCCCTATATATCAGTCACCCCCCCCATACATCAGAATTCTCCCCTCTTAGCAAAAATTTGAAGGCACCCCTGACAAAGTCAGAAGGCACCCCTGGTAGAGAAAGTCTGATCTAGATGGTTGCATTGATCAGTAAAACTAATTCTGAGGTCTGCTAATAAAAACGTTACAATACATTGTTCACAGTTTGGAAAATGTGTCATCAAGCAGACATGGTCTCGCATTATCTTCCAGGTGATGTTTTAGTTGTTCCAATCAAGCTACACAAGTGCCCATTCTGCCCATACACAGCAAAGCAAAAGGGCATTCTGAAACGTCACATTCGATCACATACAGGAGAGCGCCCATATCCATGTGAAATCTGTGGTAAGAGGTTTACACGTCAGGAACATCTGCGAAGCCATTCACTCACTGTGAGTATATTTAAAATATATGCTACTTTATTCATGATGATGTAAGAAATGTTTTCACACAATGGTCCCTGTGTTCTTTATAGTTTGATATATATACTGTAGATTTATATGGCGCATAGACTTTGCATTACTAACAATTTCCATATCTTAAAGAAGAACTCCAGGAAATGTTTTTTATTAACCCTTGCAGTGAGGCTGTCCCCGCACTACACGGGTTAATTGCTTGTTTTTGTCTAGACCAGGGGTAGGCAACCTCGGCTATCCAGCTGTGCTGAAACTACAAATCCCATAAGGCATTGCAAGCCACAGGCATGACTCCCAGAGGCAGAAGCATGATGGGATTTGTAGTTTCAGCACAGCTGGAGAGCCAAGGTTGCCTACCCCTGGTCTAGGTGCTCAAATAACAAAATTACACTCACTCGAAGCTCCGAGCTGGCCAGCTGTCACAGCGCTCCCTCCAACCTGTCTCCTCCGCTGCAGCATTGCAATTTTCCTCAGTGCCCTCGCGTCTATACACTGTGTATAGAACATGATGATTTACGTGACCTTAGACCGATGCAGAGAAGGAAGAGAGATGTTGGAAGGACAAGAACTAAGAACAAGCCGGCTCGGAGCTTCGGGTGAGTCTAACTTTTTTTCCCCCTCTAACCTAGACACAAACGAGCACTTAAACCTTGCAGTGCAGGGGTAGTCCCACTGCAAGGTTAATTTAAAATAAATTCTGGAGCAGTTCTTTAATCTGTCACTGGAATACCTAACAACACTTCTGAAAAATGAATAGGTAGCAAAGATTTATTTGTGCATCCTTCCCTCCCGCAGGTTCACCGATCCAACCGACCCATTATTTGTAAAGGTTGCCGCCGAACCTTCACCAGCAGTCTGTCTCCAGGCCTAAGGCGTTTTGGCTTGTGTGATAGCTGTACCTGTGTCACTACTACAAATGAGGATTCCCACCAAGCAAGTCATACAGAAGCTGCATCTGAAAGCATGGACAAGGACGAAGGAGATGGAGACTGGCCTATTTACATTGAGTCTGGTGATGAGAATGAAGTGGCTGAAGAAGACATTGAGGATAAAGAACAAATACATAGGGAGGTACTGATGTGACCTACTAGGAAATCATTAAGTTACCTCTCTATGCAGGCCATCTAGGTAGCATTGTACTAGATGGCTTAGACCGTCCTATTTCTGCCACTACTCAGACCATCTCAATGGTCAGCTGGTTCATTGCCTCTTTGGCTATGCATTGTGCTGCTAGCCCAATAGCAGCAAAACACTTTCTATTTTACACCTTTCCTGACATTTATTTTAGTGCTGTGCACTATATTTCGGCATTAACTGTGACTTCACCAGACTTTTTAGCGTTGACTTGTGTGTCATGAAAAGAACAGCTGTTTATTACAAGAATGCTTACCAGACCAGCCAACGTACAAAAGATATATCAGCCTGTGTTCTTTTATTGCCTTTTTATTGATTTTTTTTTTTCTACTACGGTCCTATAAATGTAGGCACTGTCAAAATGCCTCACTCTCTTTTAGACCTTTTAGGTATCGGACTTTTAGATGATTTAGGCAATGGACATGCGTATATGTATATTTACACAACTAGAAATGTCCAGAAAAATCTGAAAATTACTTTGTGGTTAATTGCTCCTAGAATTAGTGTTTAACACCTTTTCGGAAAAAGACGAATGTGTCTGCATAAAGGGATATTTGCATAATTCATGTGCCAATTGTTTTCAGACATTTATAAGTGGATTTTATATACGAGTTTGCATCAGAAATGCTACATGTCCTGTCTTTATGACACAGAACCTGAAGACTTTCCTAAGGGCTCATGTTGACCAGCGTTCTTTCAAACGCTGCATTTGCTATTTAGGCACAAACGCACAGGCTTGAATGGCAAACACGGCATTTGACAAGCAAAGGATGCATTTGACCCGCCATGTGTACTGGTAAATTAAAGTCAATAGGATGTTACTGATGTGTATTTAATGCATGTCAAATGCAGGACAACAACACCCAAACAGCATTGCTTGCAATGTGATTGTACAAGTGTGACGATCAGTGACTTTCTGTGCATATTATGGGCTATATGAGTCAATTTCTGGTCTGTGTCTCCCTAGAATTACTGAGCAGGCTCATTGGAGAAAAGAAGAAAACATAGGTAACTTTGGTGTGTTTATTCTTTGTTTCAGTGTCCTTATTTTATGTTTATTATCTCTTGTATCACACCCAATTGAGAGAGTCCTTATTGAACTGCTGCATAGAACAAGCTGCACTGAAGGGCTTGTTTTGCAGATATTCTGTATAGATGAGTAGATGGGACATACTTCAGCCTGGTGGGAAGTTTGTGGGTATTACTTTAGGTCAGGCTGGATAAATCCCAGGATCCAGGTAACCGGTGATCCTTAAATATTACAACTAGCTCCTAACATTTGAGGTTGCTCTAGTTGTTGTCAATGGAGCTGGCTTCTAAAATAATATCCTGCTGACTCCTGGAATAGACTGGCTTCTGAATTCCATATTAATATGTCCACCCTTGCTGTTAAGTGTTTTCTTCATATCATTTAAGTCAGTTGCACTTTTATTATACAGGAGCAATCATCCAGCCTTATTATAAATGCTTTATACAATGCTTCTGAGTGAGCGTTCCAGCAGGAAAATGTTAGTGACCTAAGCAGCCCTACACTACTTTGTATTAAAACAGATGAGCAGTTTTTGGAAAGCAACTAATGCGCTATAATATTAAATCATAACCTATATAATATCTTATTGTTTCTTTATCACAAGAGTAATGAGTTACAAAGCTATCCACTCTTCTACCACTCATCATTGTCTCTTAGGTGCTTTATGGCTTATTTCTAAATAATTTGTAATAGCTGGATCAAATTGTTTTCCTCTGTGCTTAAAGAGGGTTTACTTCTTAATGAACACTTGATTTAAAGTGCTGTTCATAAGTACCGCAGCGCTGAATACTGAAAGATGGGAAGGGGGTTTAACACCGCGGATGTCAACTGGTTAAAAACAAAAACAAAAAAAAACCATGTAAACCCATTTCAGATTGTTAGAAATGCTAAAAATATTAATCTGTCTTGTGGCAGTGTGAGCCCCAGACAATTCTTTAAAGCTGAAGTAAACCCTGCCAAGGAAGATGGCATCTTTAGATCTGCAGTTGCTGTGGTGCTGCACATGTTATAAGCTATGGCACAAGCTATTTGAGGGCTGGAAAGTTTGGTTCAGAGATAACAAAAGCACACTGGCATCTGTGACAGGGGCATGCATTGAATGTAACTGCTTTATAATATAGCAAAATCAGTAGATGTAGTTCCACGTTTTACAAATCTCTTCTCTGAAAGAGGTCAAAGTTATTAGCCTTAGGACCAATATCAGCAGATACAGGTTGACCATCAGTACGGTTAAAGCCCAACTCCAATATACACACACCTCTTCCCGGCTACTCAGTACCCCCACTCAAGTCCTACATTGAGTCCCCCCTCATATGTATTTTTTATGCTTTAAAAAAAAAAAAATGTTAATACATACTTTTTAACTAAAAAGAAAAGTTTGGGCTATAGATGCACTTAAAGTAGTAAACTGGCAACATATACACAGCAATAGTGAAAACCCAGGAGATGTTTCCCACAATGTGCTAGTGTGCACAGTGTATTAGCACATTTTGGCCAACGTACCTTACAGGCAGTTCCCTCCAGCACTATGATATCAGCTCTCTCTCCCTTTGCTGGAGCTGCCATCTTCACCCAGTTTTCTTCCAGGTTTTGCATCTTCAGCCTGACAGGAAAGGAGCATTTAATGACAGAAGAGACATACAGGGTTATAAAAACCCTACCTGTCAGCGTTTTTTAAATCTTAACTTTACTCCCACCTAAGGCCCAACTCTGGGTTCATTTTTTTTTTCTGTTTAAGTTGTAAAGACGAAGCCCCAGAACATCTTGAGGAAAAACCATTTGAATACAGGATAAATAAACTGTATTAAATCCTGCCATTCCTCTTGCCATCCCATCTAATAGTATTTGTGCACAGAAGTTGTAAGCTCATCACGGCTCCCTTTTTCATATGACAGCTCTCTAGCAGTCCCTTGATACAAGGGAGTATCAAAAAGTAATGTCTGTTATTTCATATCTGCTGATGTATGTCATAGATATGTCCTCAATTATTGTGTGCTTCTGTTTCTGAATGCTGAATCATGGAGAAAAGGTTGAAACAAAGAGCAATAATGGAGTTTGTGACAAAAGAGCTATAGTTAGGCTATTGAGATCCATACATGCCTGAAGAACGGGTATGGCATTGGGTAAAGAAGTTGGGAGAAACTGATATTGTTGACAAGGCATTGAATGGCGCCATTAAGCTCTCAAGTGCTCTGGAGAATTTTTCAAACTGGATTTGAGGCCTGGATAAAATGATGGAGCAAATGCATCAAATGTAATGAGTCCTATGTGGAAGGGTAACTGAGTAAAGGAACTTGTAGGCTAACTGTATAAATGTTCGCTGTTTCCCTCTTTGCATAATGAAATAATCTATATCTCAACAGGCCTTACTTTTTTGATACCCCCTTGTAACCTTCTGTGAAAAAATCCACTATACTTTCTATGTCTTCCATCTACCCATCCATCATCCCTCTTTTCCGCATTGGCTGTAATTATTATTTTTTTATATTGGTTTACCTCAGCCAATGGAAATTTGACATCGTTGTATCCAGAAAGACTGTAAAAATTGAGCATACTTTCAAATGTCTGATTTTCACAACTGCTATCTAGGGATTACTAGGGAGTTCTAGCAGGAGAGAGGGAGTAATAAAAACTTACAACAGACTCTATGCGCAGGCATTGTTAGATGGGATAGCAAGATGAAGGGCATGGGTCACTTTAAATCTAGGATGTCAGCTCTGCAGAGGAGTGAATGGGCTGCTATATTATGCCTTATGCACATGGCTGAAAATGGCTGTATAGTGTACAGCTCCATGCAGTCAGTCTGTACTTGCCAATGACAGGCTGGTTAAAGATGTGACTGTATCGATATATACGCAAATCCCATTGTATACAGAACTTATGCACTGTCCCGAACACAAAGGATAGGTCCGGGCACGCATGTAAATAATGGGATTTGCATATAGATCCATACAGACGTGGCTTCAGTCAGCCTGTTATTGGTTTTTACAGGCTGGCTATATCTTCTGCTGTATGGGGCACCGGTCACTCCCGGGCAGAGAAATACACCTGATCTGCATGCTGTATGGCCATTTCCAGTATTGTGGATGAGAGCTATGTTTTTTTCCTGCAAGAATACAGTTTTGATTTACCAAACATTGTGACGTCTAGCATGTGCAAAAATCCCCTTTATGCTTAAATGAATGGATATATTTTTTTAGCTTGTTTATTTAAGAAAACACAAACTTACATAGATTATAGACTATGTGATACAAGGGACTGGTTATAATTTGACTTTGTCAGAACTATAATTATTCTTCGAATACTAGTCTTGGTGGAGCATTTCAGGTTGACTTAACCCGTACATCATTGTATTACCTTTCCACCTATTCTTCAGCTGCTGAGGATTATTTTGGGCAGATTTATTTTTGCTGTGACATGACAATGAAATCTTTTCTTTTTTTTTTTCTGTTTTTTTTTTCTTGTTACAGTTTTTAAAGTCTGCAGCTTTGTATTTAAGCTCCACTGTGTATGTATGTTGTGTATTTGATATCATTGTGCAGAGTACAGGTGGGCAACTATTACATGTAAATAGGGTGTTTTAGTACTGGAGTGTTTTTATTAGGACTCCAATGCATGTTAAGCTAGTAAATGTAATCGGAGAACAGATTTTACCTTTTTATTGAGGGACTGGACCAAATTCAGTGTCTTCTTAAAGCAGGAACTCCACCTAGAACCATTTATACAGTTTAAGGGGAATTACTGGTTTAATTATGATACTGAGAGCAATGTATTTTTATTCCAGGGAAAATATGCCTGATTTTCTCAATCTGCAAAACTGCAAATTACTCACTGTATTTCTTTTTAGAAATGTAATTATCTAGGGTTATATTACTGTATGGAAATATAGTCCATGTTTGATATTTATTATACTACACACACACACACACACACAGGTAAATAAATTGTTTCTCATCTTGCCTTTATTCCTCTATGCTACAACTAAATGATCTGGAAATTGTTCTGAGCAACAGAATACAATTTTATATTCAAACACTTTATGGTCATACTTTCAAGTCTTTGACTCTTGCCCTTTAAACATCAGCACAGCCCTGTTGTTCCATGGAAACTATCATGGTAATTCACAAAAGGGTGAAGAGTTTGGAGAAGGCAGGAGAAGGGAACAATCTAGGACAAAATACTGTAGTTGATTTAGAAAAATTCTCCAGTTCAGCTATGTTGCCCTAGATTGTGTTCACTTCTCCTGCCTTCTCCAAACTCTTCACCCTTTTGTGAATAGCCCTGTATGTTTTGTAAATGCAATATGAACAAACCTACAAATGTAGTTGAGTATATGTTTCAAAATTGCATAAGTAGCGGTTTTCTTCAATGAAATTGCATGAACAAAATGATCAGTAGCTGAGAGATATAGCCAATTGAAGTTATGTAAATCTTGACTGCTATAAAAGTGAGTATGGGTTCTACCCCTTTTGCCTTTTCAGCCTTCCTACGGGTTGAGTTTGCCTATTACATTGAAGTACAACTAAAGGCTACTGTCCAACAGTCTAAACATGTAACAAATCCAGTTACTGTATGATGCACAAGCCTCCTAAAGTAAACAAACTTTCGTTACCTTTCCAGTTTGAGCCAAATCCTCCATGTGTGTGTGTCTCATGCTTCCACTCCCAGACACTGCAGCTCACAGTGGGAGGG